ATGTCAGCCTCTGCAAATCACAAATACTGGGTATGTTTTTACAGTATTTTTCAAAAAGTATTGCTCCTACATATTACAGTGTTAGCCATGGTGGCATGTGATGCCATAATTTCTCATAATTTATTGAATGGCTCTGGTGTTTCAGATTAATATGTTTATAAACATATATAAACAAGGTGTTTGCTCCCACAAGGAATGATCAGTGGTAGCTCTCCATTTTTTGACACCACTGAAATTGACTGATTTAGTTGTTCAGATCCAAACATATTGCCCAGAGTTGGCTTTCATTCCAAATAAACTTAGGTTTTATATTCAACAGGCATGATTATTCATAATGCTATGGGTTGATAACTGAAAACCACAAGCCTTTCATTAAAATGTAGAAACTACATACACAGCTGTACTCAAACCACTGTGAAACATTATGCCTGTCTAAAATACACAGAAATGTTGGCAAGCAATCTTGCAGGGTCTGCTTGAATATTACAATATTAGGCAGACATTAAAGATGGATTACACCATACAGTGCTAAACTCCAATTAGTTTAAAATTTTAAAATGTTATTATCAACCAAGACCAGCTGATTTTAAAGATATGTTTAGGACAAAATAGATTATGTTTCATGGCAGGGCTACAAACAATTGAAACCGATGATACATTAACTGCTGCAAACTAAGAAAAATGAAAACAAAACTTCTGCCCTTTATAACATTCCAGATGTTAGAAACATAACCAATAATTATCAATACATGACAGCTAAAATGCTGAAAGTGAAAAACCCTAGCCTTTCATAGTCGGGTTGCTTATGCTCATAAGCAATATATATGCTCATATATATTTTTAAATATTACAAATAGTTCAGTTCTTAAATGGGCTGAATATCAGGCCTAAATACTCTTACAAATTTCCAAGAAGATACTCCTGCTTTTCTTACCAAGAAGGAAGCACAGTCTTTGCTGTGGGGAAAACAGTCTATTTGGAGAGAGTATGTGTCAGAACTTATGCTGATGTGTGTAGATGAACAGACCGTTCTGGGAACAGGCAGCGTATAGAACTAGCAGTCTACTGGGACAAAAAGAGTTTTAAAAAATACGCCACCCACAAATATAATATTAATTAGGCGATCTAACATGAGTTTGAATTTTATTTACCAGTATGTATTATTTATCTATTACAGTTATACCTCAACTTTCCTCCAAAGAGCTCAAGGTGCTGTAGTTCTTCTCCTATTTTATCCTCACAACAACCCTGTGAGGTAGGCTAGACTGAAAGACTGTGACTGGCATAAGGTCACCCAGTCAGTTTCATGGCTGAGCAGGGATTTGAACCCTGGTCTCCCAGGTCCTAGTGCAACACACTAACTACTAGACCATCTTGCCTCAAATCAGTGAGTCAGTGGGAAGCCAACGTGATGCCCTCCAGAAGTTGCTGGGCTCCAAATCCCACCAGTCCAGAATTTTCAAATGCCATGGATGATGGGAATTGCAGTCTAACGGAATATTCATTGCCCCATGTTGGCTGCCCCTTGAGTTAACACATAAATAGTGACCCCAGTTCAAGATTGTGCTCCTCCTAATTTCCTCCACTCCGTCCAGTTTGCAAATTAACACGTGGGATCTTCAATGGGAGAAGACATAGGCTAGCTAGAAAAGTGGTGGTTTTGATGTGGAATGAACAGAAGAATGTGCTGCTCATAGATACAGAACTGTGAGCAGAGGCTGCATGTGCATGCTGCAGCTTCTAAAGGTTGTATGTGGATGCCAGCAGCACTGTGGATCCAGTCACAGAGTGGTTTTCACTTCATAACATGTTGCCAGGAGTCATGTCATGCCTAGGTTCTGAAGTAGCCTGACACATCTACCCAGTACAGTGGTGCCTCGCAAGACGAAATTAATTCGTTCCGCAAGTTTTTTCTTCTTGCGAGTTTTTCGTCTTGCGATGCACGGTTTCCCATAGGAATGCATTGAAAATCAATTAATGCGTTCCTAGGGAAACCGACTTCAGACCAGGTCGGGGACAGACTGTCCCCGGACCTCTTCTGAAGGCTGGGGGGACAAGGGCTTTTTTCCCACCCCCAGCATTTTAAAAACCCGGGACAGCGGAGGGCTTCTCCGCTGTCCGGGGCGATCTTAAAATGCTGGCGGGCGGCATTTTAAAATTGCCCCGGGACAGCGGAGGACTTCTCCGCTGTCCGGGGCAATTAGAGCCCCTGGGAAGGCAGGCAGGGGGACAAAGACTTTTGCCCCCGCCAGCCTTCAGAAGAGGTCCTGGACCTCTTCTGAAGGTTGGCGGGGGCGAAGTCTTGTCCCCCCACCTGCCTTCAAAAGCTGTCCAGCCAAGGCTTCGCGGACCTCTCCGCAGCAGCGGCAGCACTGCCGCTGCTTGCGGAGAGCTGCCGGCATGCCGAGGCCTGCGCGCGCTGAGATCAGCGCGCCCAGGCTTCGCGGACCTCTCCGCGAGCAGCGGCAGCGCTGCCGCTGCTTGCGGAGAGTTGCCGGCATGCCGGCCTGCGCGCGCTGAGATCAGCGCGCCCAGGCTCCGCGGACCTCTCCGCGAGCAGCGGCAGCGCCTGCCGCTGCTCGCGGAGAGCTGCCGGCATGCCGAAGCCTGCGCGCGCTGAGATCAGCGCGCCCAGGCTTCGCGGACCTCTCCGCGAGCAGCGGCAGCGCTGCCGCTGCTCGCGGAGAGTTGCCGGCATGCCGGAGCCTGCGCGCGCTGAGATCAGCGCGCCCAGGCTTCGCGGACCTCTCCGCGAGCAGCGGCAGCGCTGCCGCTGCTCGCGGAGAGCTGCCGGCATGCCGGAGCCTGCGCGCGCTGAGATCAGCGCGCCCAGGCTCCGCGGACCTCTCCGCGAGCAGCGGCAGCGCTGCCGCTGCTCGCGGAGAGCTGCCGGCATGCCGAAGCCTGCGCGCGCTGAGATCAGCGCGCCCAGGCTTCGCGGACCTCTCCGCGAGCAGCGGCAGCGCTGCCGCTGCTCGCGGAGAGCTGCCGGCATGCCGAAGCCTGCGCGCGCTGAGATCAGCGCGCCCAGGCTTCGCGGACCTCTCCGCGAGCAGCGGCAGCGCTGCCGCTGCTCGCGGAGAGTTGCCGGCATGCCGAAGCCTGCGCGCGCTGAGATCAGCGCGCCCAGGCTTCGCGGACCTCTCCGCGAGCAGCGGCAGCGCTGCCGCTGCTCGCGGAGAGTTGCCGGCATGCCGGCCTGCGCGCGCTGAGATCAGCGCGCCCAGGCTCGCGGACTCGGAGATTTCCCTATGGGCTTTCGTCTTGCGAAGCAAGCCCATAGGGAAATTCGTTCTATGAGCGCCTCCAAAACGGAAAACCCTTTCGTCGAGCGGGTTTTTCGTCTTGCGAGGCGTTCGTCTTGCGGGGCACCACTGTATACCAGTAAAATTTACCCCCCCCCCCCCGCAACAAAAAAGACTTAGGTGGAGGAATGAGACCGATCTATTGGTCTTTTCATATTTGACATGTGAACTATCCAACACTAAACAATCTTTTTAGTTATCAGGTATTACAGTGGTACCTCGGGTTACAAACACTTCGGCTTACAGACTCTGCTAACCTGGAAGTAGTACCTCGGGTTAAGAACTTTACCTCAGGATGAGAACAGAAATCACGCACCCCATTAGCTAAAGTGGTATCTCAGGTTAAGAACAGCTTCAGGTTAAGAACGGACCTCTGGAACGAATTAAGTTCGTAACCAGAGGTACCACTGTATTCAAACTGGGCTTCCTCCATGGCTTGATTGTCAGATAAAGAGACATGTAAACCCTGCCATTTTATTACTGCCAACTGTCTAATCATCCCTGGTGATCACTACTCATTTGCTTCCTATAACACTGTCATATTCTATAACCTTATCCAATTCCCACACTAATTAAAGCTCTCGGCTGACTGAAATCTGGCTTTCAATTTTTTTGTGCTAGCTATTGCTGTGCATGAATTGTGTTCCTCTCGCATCTTCTTGCTGGAAGTTAACATTCCATGTATTAATGTATACTGTACTGTCAAAATAATTCCAATAATTAGTTAGGTAATATTAGATAACGCGGGGGTGGTGGTTTATTAAGATTTCTTACCTACCCTTCACTATAAGGTCCCAGGGTATGTTGAAAGTACAAAAACTATACTTTTTTTAAAAAAAGTAAAACCAACCAACCATAGACAATAATCATTAGGTTAATTCACGATTTTGAGTATTTTGAGTATTATTTCAGATACAGAAATCAGCTTGACCTCACCTTAGTCAGATCAGAAGAATCTTTATTTGCATCAGCCACTAGCCATAGCAATAAAATATATACTATACAAAATACTATACAACTATATAAAATACATTTTGGAGGTTTACATCAGTAATCAAATAATAGACCTTGGTTTTCAACTACAGTGGTACCTCAGGTTACATACGCTTCAGGTTACATACGCTTCAGGTTACAGACTCCGCTAACCCAGAAATAGTGCTTCATGTTAAGAACTTTGCTTCAGGATGAGAACAGAAATTGGACTCCGGCAGCGTGGCAGCAGCAGGAGGCCCCATTAGCTAAAGTGGTGCTTCAGGTTAAGAACAGTTTCAGGTTAAGTACAGACCTCCAGAACAAATTAAGTACTTCACCTGAGATACCACTGTACCACAGGAAGAAGCCACTGAACAGGATCTCAGTTGATGCTTGAAGCAGTTACTGTGCGAAGCAGTGGTCAGAAACTGGGGTTGTATTCAACTAACTTGTTGAACTAGTAGAAGCCAGCAAATGGATTCCTGCTAGTGCAATGGGACTCCCCTGCCTCTGCTCAGGTGCCCTTCTGTGCCTTCTCCAAATTTCCCTCGTAGACAACTGTAGAGAACCACCAAAAACAGCGGGGAGAGGGGAGATGGTTCTATCAGACAAGAAGAAATGCTTGTGCTGATGGAACCATCTAATAGAATCATAGAATTGCAGAGTTGGAAGGGACCCTGAGAATTATCTAGTCCAGCTCCCTACAATGCATGAATATGCAGCTGTCCCATACGTGGATTAAACCTTCAACCGTGGCATTATCAGCACCATGCTCTCTAACCAATTGAGCTATGTGGACCTTAGTGCTATGTCGAATACAACCCTGGATTTTATTTTTTGTTCATTCTCTTGCAGCCCTTTCTTCCTTTTCTATCATGCCTATTGGATTGTAATTTTGAGGGCAGCAATTGCATTTTTGTTTTGTCTTTTCAAAAATGTTGTATAGCACTTAAAAACAATAAAAACAAGCCAACATTTCAATTCAGCCTTAATTAACACTGAGGACGGCGGTTCTCACATTTTTCTTCTAGTTCCTCCCCAAGCACAAGTTCCTGGTAGGTGGTCTGGACGGTAGGTCACTACTAGGTCACAGGTAGGTAGCTGCTGAACAAATGTTCCAATAATTGGAGAACAGGGTGAAGAAAAGGGCAAGGCAAGGAGAAACACTGATTTTTACACCTGGAGAGCTGAAGTATAAACTACAAGCTCTAAATCAATCAAAGGGCAGGGGTCATATTAGCAGCTGTAAGGCACAGTAATCAAGCGGGGCTTAGGATTCTAGGGGTGAGTCAAAGAGTTCAAGGTGGCACAGAGAAAGGTGTGCGTGGTGGTGGGAGAGACGAGGTTGAAGAGCTTACAAAAGCAGACTACTTGGATGAACACTTGTAAACTATGAAGGTAGGATAACTGCCAGGCCAACAATGGAGAAGGCAACGTACTGTGAATCAAGAAAAACCATCTTCCAAATGCTAAAGTTGCACGCGCCCTGGCTAAACAAATGGTCTGCCAACTATGTAAGCAGGAGAGCTATTAAAAATGTGGCAGTGTGTACTAAACAGCGGGGATTTGCATAGTATTTATTTATGCGGCGGTTTCCCCCTCTTTCTTCAATTCAAAGATGGATTCCAGGGCAGTAAGCATTAAAAAGTTCAAATTATGGTAGCGTGAATGATAACAGAGTGTATTATGAAATATATATATAGTGTAGCTATTGATGGTCCAAGAACTGCTTCACAGGAGGAGGGCATATTTAGGAGAGCTTTGAAAGAAGCGAAAAAGGCAGCTTGATGGATAGAGATAGCAAATCTGATTAGACTAACATAAAGCAATTGGGAAGTCATCCATTAACTTCGCCACAGAAGATTGATTCGTTGCAGAGGGGATGCAGTCAGTTCCACAGGACAGTGGAAAAGCTTGGATGTGATAGGTACGAAAAATCTAATTTTCATCCTATTTACTAGAGCTAGTGCAAGGGGAAAATAGCTTGTTCTCTGAGGGAACTAATGAAGTGTGATGAATTATGTGAAGATGAAAGATTAAATTAAGAGGAAAAATAGGAAAATGGGATAACACGAAGAAAACAAATGGAACTATTACTTCAGGCTCTGCAAAACACTTCCATAATGGAAATTTAGTTACTGCACATCCAACATCTACTGTATAAATAACTGCCGGAAGTTTTCCTCAGAGAATGCTGAAGAAAACAAAAACAAAAAAGCAAAATGTTTTCTTCGTAGTACCAAATCCTACATATCATTATTTCAAATAATCAGGATGAATAATTCTTACTCAGAAGTTTTCAAAACAAGGTGGATGCCTGAGATGGGCAGTAATAAAACATGTATTATCAGAGTTTGATTATGACTTTGAGGCATTTCTTATAGATAATATGTCATACAACCTGTATTGGAAGTGCAGGCTTCCATTGCAGTTTCCTACTTAAAATGGCTGTTTTCAAGGATGGGATAGAGACTTGCTTCTTTATGCATTCACCTTTTTAGGTGTGGATCTAAACATGCAATGATAGATAGCATGGATGGACATGACAAATAGATTCTAAAAATATGCTCAGTATAGGCATGGCTGTGGCTCCTCATGGTTAGGTTCTGTATCCTAGAGTCACTGCAAACGGAGAATAATGTGGTCCTACTTTGGAAGTATAGCTCAGTTCTCACATTCACCACTTTTGAAATGGTAAAGCCACAAGTTTTGCCTTCCCAATTTTTTGGAGACCCATAGATGTCATATACACTTTAAAAATTTTAGCTTCCAGTAGTTCGTCAAGAACTGGTGATTATTGGAGAAATGGAAATTGATCATGGAATAAGCCTTGACATTGATTTTGAATAGTCGCATCATGGTGAGTTTACCACACCAAAATGGAACAAAGAAATAGCGCACAGCAAAACTAGCATTTTGGCCTAAGGAGTCATCCAGCCTGAATGGCTGTCAGATCACAATATAGAAAAAAAAATTCCTGGCCAAAATCAGTGTTGCAATACAGATGACTCACAATTTGTGCAGCAGTTAGGTTGCGGGGATTGCACATATAGGTGAAATTGTGTGCAGCCAAATCAACCCCGTAAATGTCCCTGCATAACCACCCCTACCTTTCTGGAGCCAGTTTATCAAGTGGGTCTCACCCCACATGCAAGGTGGAGAGCTTTTAAGTTTTCTGCCTTGCTTACCAGCTCTGGGACATGTCCCGCGGGAGCTTCCCAGAGCCTGGTAAGCAAGGCATAGATCTTAAAAACTCCCTCCACAGCAGGAAAACCCAGCACAGGAAGAGCTTTTAAGCTCTCTGCCTTGTGTGTGTTTCATTTGTGCCATCGCAGCTGGCTGGCTGCCAAGTGTGTAAAGCTGTGAGTGCACAAGTGAAATGCGTACAAGTTGTGAGTTGAGTGTACATTTGCATATGAAGATCTCCAAATGCCTCCACTGACAATGCTGGACCTATTAGCACAGGGGTCAGCAAATGTTTTCAGCAGGGGGCCGGTCCACTGTCCCTCAGACCTTGTGGGGGGGCCAGACTATATATGGGGGGGAATGAACGAATTCCTATGCCCCACAAATAACCCAGAGATGCATTTTAAATAAAAGCACACATTCTACTCATGTAAAAACACGCTGATTCCTGGACTGTCCATGGGCCAGATTTAGAAGGTGATTGGGCCTGATCCGGCCCCCGGGTCTTAGTTTGCCTTTCCATGTATTAGCACCTCTGAACTGCAAACATAATCATTTATTGTGAGTGCAACCTCCTGCAAAAAAGCCTGAAGACCACACAGCTTGGGGGGGGGGGGACACAAAGCACCTCAATATTATCTGGACTGAGTCTCAGTCTATTGGCTCTCACCCAGTCCACTAGTGTACCAGAGCACTCATCTGGCACCTCCTTCTGAAATTGGCCATCCAGTAAGAGCAGAACCATTACAGTGTAGGTCCTTCAATCCCCAACTCCGATTGCCTATCTAGAAAGATACTATAGTTGATAGTAATGAAAGCAGCTGAGAGGTCAAATAAATCAAGTGAGATGCATTCCCCTTGTCCCTCTCTCATATCACAGGGTAACCAAAGCTATTACCTTTCTTTGGATCTAGAAAGGACCTAGAACTGGCTAACAACCACTTGCCAAGGAAGGGAATGTTTGCAACTGGCCTATAGCGCTTTGAAGAATGCAATTTAAAAACAACAATGAAAACAACAACATGAAATCCCTCCACTTTAACTTAAATCTACCAAACAAAGGATAAAGTAATGGAAGTTTAAATTGCATTGAAGAAGATTAAAGTTGTGTCAAAACTACTAATGGCGCATACATGTAAATCCTCTGGATTTGAAATGTGGCTCTAAAGAAACAAAAGGGGGAAGTGCCTTCAGCTAGCAAACAGATCACTATTAGCAGCTCTGTGTAGATGAAGAGTTTTAATGGGAAGCATATATTCTCACCACTAGAATAATTAATTACTGGCTTCTTTTCTTCCCACTGCAACATTTAGCCAGTTATAAACATTTTTCTGTTTATGAATGTACTTTTGATTACATTCAACGTCACTTTTGACACCACACTAAAAATATATCCTCATAGATGTAAGCTCAAAAAAGGGAGACACCAACAGCTTTCGAAACTGAAGCTTGTGGATAAGGATAATATATTAAAGAAATGAGGATGTTGTTGTGTCGCTAAATGACTTCCAGTTGTCCATATGCCCAGAAGCATAAATCTAAGAAAAAGCTTTGCTGATTGTAGCACATAAGGAGAGCACTTGGGGCAACAGCACAGATGCCACAGCTACACTTTCAATCTAGGAGCTGGATTGAGAAGGGGGAGGGCGGGCAGTGAGAGGAAGCGGTCGGTAAAATGATTTAAGATACCCAGGATATAATGGGATGAGTTGGAGAAGCCAGCATTTGTTATGTTAGAGGACAGGAGTATTAGGATTGTGGTTGACAAATCTTTAGCTGCTTGAATGGTTTAGGACTGCATTCAGCTTTCTGAGCCTATTAGTATCTTCTTGATTCCCAGTTTTGCAGATTTCTGGGGATTTCTACACAACATATGGGTTAGCATTAAGAGCATTAAAGATTTATAAATTTGTATCATCACGATAAAGCGCACAAAGAGATGAAATATGCACATGGTTGGGTGTAATCCTCATACTGCTCAGGCTTGAATTAAACCAAAGACCCATTCATAGTCTAATACTGTTAAAGAGAAACGAGAGAAAGAAATATCATTTAAGTTTATTCATACTAGCTTCAGGTGCCAAGGCTTTTAATGTACAGTCGTACCTTGGATCTCAAAGGCCTTGGCTCCTGAACAAATTGGCTCCCGAACAATCGAAATGCAGAAGTGAGTGTTCCGGTTTTTGAACAATTTTCGGAAGCCGAACGTTTGGTGTGGCTTCTGTGGCTTCCAATTGGCTGCAGGATGTTCCTGCAGCCAATCAGAAGCAGTGCCTTGGTTTTCAAATGGTTCCAGGAGTCAAACGGACTCCCGGAACACATTCTGTTTGAGAACTAAGGTACGACTATACAGATAATACACAGTCCAAGTAAATACCCCGTATTTACCCAGCCTACACAAACTGACCCAATGATTCACTCATTCACATTTCACACATGTGACTCAACTATTTTAAAAAGAAGTGATCGTTGTTTTTCAATCCCTACACAAACATGCGATGACTGTCAATATGAAGGATGGAACTTCTTATCATGGATCTTCATTCATTTCTCTAGCTAAATCAATGGCAAAGCCATTCCAGTCAGGAGAATTCCATGTACATGAATTGTCAACATATATCTATATGTCAGTGTAATCCGTAACTTAGTGTGACACTTAATACTACTTGTGTATCTAACTGGTTAAATACAAATGGAGTACATACAGGAAACGAAACTTGCTATTTATTTTTAGTAAACAACTCCCACTAGGGAGCATGAAAAACAAATCTGGTTTCAAGTAGATGCTCTTTGAATACAAACAAATCCACAAAGAATATAATTCTTCTGGGAAACACACTAGAAGGCATGTCACAACATACATAAAAGTGTGCATCAATATTTTATATATTCTGTGGGGAAACTGACACTAGCCTTCAAAGATGTTTAACCATACTGAAAATAAGTTGAGAACTGTGTATCTCACAACCTAATTTCTAATAGAAGTCTCTTTATCAGGTATTTTATAAACATACTTCTCCACTCCTCTGATGATCTTTTTGCACAATTCACTGAGAAGTGTGCAATTACACAGCCCAATTATACAGCTAGCAGATAAGAAATAGCATATAATTTTAGGATTAGTGCTAACTTCATTAAAAGTACTTTCATAAATAAGAAGCACAGCCTGGCTGACAACATTACTGTCAGGCCTATTTTGCAAGAAAATAACCAAGTCCAATGTCACAACAGGGAAAGTGCCATAGCTGAAGGGTAGAGCCTCTGCTCTGTGTGTAGAAGGTCTCAGGTTCAATCCCTGACACCTAGGTAGGGCTGGAAGATGCCTCTGCCTGAAACCATGAGCAGCTTCTGCCAACCTGTGTAAGCAATACTGACCTACATGCCCTGATGGTGTGACTCAGAATCAGGCAGCTTACTATGTTCCAATAAAGGCAAAAACAGTTGCAGGGATGCAAACCAATAAAGTTTCAGAGAACTTCATTAAAAAATGAATTGTGAAGCAGACTAAAGAATAGGATACAGTTTACTGCAAACAGAACAAATATGGTGCCCAACAGATACCACAAAGACAGTGTAGGTCTCTCTATGTCATAAAAATGTGATTTTTCGGAGTATGCTTAGAAAAGGGCGGTCCAATTTTTCATATCAAGTGAGCTGCAAGAGTACTTCGACATGGAACTCGTGGGCCGCACACTGTCTTGTTGTATGGCGGTGGGGAGCAAGACCAAAATTTGACCCCTCCCAAAGCCAGGTAAGTGAGATGCTGAGCTTTGGGAAGGAGGCGTGAGGCTTTGGCAGGGTCCTACAGCCCTCCAGCCTTCTCCTCAAAGCTGGGAAAGAGGTAACTAGGCTTTGGGAAGGAGGGTGGAGAACTCTAGGCCCCTGTCAGAGCCCTCACACCTCCTTCCCAAAGCCCAGCACCTCACTTAACTGGCTTTGGGAAGACAGCACAAGGGTGGTGTGTCAGGAGCTCCTACACTCAAGTAGGACCCTGGCAGAGACACATGCCCAACTGACATGTTCTCTCCCTCCTGGTCGATCGTTCGGAAGCTTCAAAAGCTTTCTTCAGCCTGAACATCACAGCAACTGATGCCAACAGACATTGGCACACTTAGGGATCCACAGAGTCTTCGCAGCTTGTGTAATAGACCTCAGCAACTCAGCATTTTGGCTAATCTACTTTATTTACATATAAACACACACGGAGCACTGCAACATGGCTCCTTCTCTCTCTAGCATCAGACAGCAAAGAGAAAAAACAAAGGACAACAGTCCCACTTCACGGAACACAGTAACACAAACATTCTGTCTCCATCACTTCCCACTTTGTGAAGTCAAAACATACACCATCATGTGAAAGACAAAGATCCCATGATTGCTATCACGGAGCAGGAATTCTAACATGGTGTGTGTGTGTTATATGTTGTCACAAGTTGCATGTTGAACTACCCTGGCTTGGAGAGCTCCTACTGCAGCCTCAGAACAAAAAAATGTATCTTCAGAACTAATGGCCACATGTATTAGTCTAATGTGGAGCAATCTACATCCTGATAAAAAATGCCATGGTTTTCATTCTTCTTCTTTTGCCCTTCATTATTAGAAGAAGCTATAGTAATTGTTTCTTAAACTGTAGGCCATAGTACACATTGAGGTGTTCTATGAGACTAACAGCAAAAACTGTCAAATGTCTTTTTCAACTCAAGACAGAGATGAACTCAGCATTTCAGTGTATCTACTCATTCTGCCTATTCTTTTACTGATGTTTAAAAAATGCCACTGCTTCCTTCCTTCATAGGCACCACACACTCCCTCAAGGACATATTTGTCGTTTCCCCCACTTGTTTGGCCGGTCCCACTCCAGATCCCTTTTTACAGAAGTTTTATTATTTAATGTTTAACGTTTTATTCTGTTTTTAATCTGTTGGGAGCTGCCCAGAGTGGTTGGGGAAACCCAGTCAGATGGGCGGGGTATAAGTATTATTATTATTATTATTATTATTATTATTATTATTATTATTTGCCCAGAAATGAAAGAGTCAAACACGTTGACCCCACTCCTTCAATGATTCCATCTACATCCACTGGCTGCACAAACTGAAAAGTATTCATAACAACAGGAACAGATGTCACCTTCATGAGAAAATGTACTTGTCAGCTCAGGAAAAGGAAGAATTCAAGGATAAAAAAAAGTGTTTTGTGGGAAATGGTTTGTTTTATTAAATATGTTTCAGTCAAATAGCATGATTGGTTTCCTCCATCAACCCATGACACTTTATAGAGTAATATTATAGACTGACTGAATTAATTTCCCCCCTTTTCTTTATGCTTGGCTAGTTGTTTATTTCTATGATGGTTCCCTGATTGCTTCACTTAAGTGTTTATTAGTGCATTGTGGATTGTATATTTGTGGGAGATTTTGTTTCCTATTTGTTTTGCTCTTCTGTTTGTTGTAACCAAATGTATAGGTCATGTATGTGTTGAGTTTTTACTGGTGTGTTTTGTTTGTTTGTTTGCTCATTTTTCCTTGATATGGAAGGTCTTAACAAACATTTCTTAAAACGTTTGTCCCTTGCCTGCCTTTATGGTCCCTACCCCATAAACAGATCTCACCATAGTGAGAAAGACTGCAACCTGTGTGCTTGCTGTCTACTGTCCAGGCGTTCATTGCTTATGGGCAGTTTATGGGCAGTTCTTTATCTATGGACTTGGTTCAGATAGCCATTCAAACAGAGACTCTTTTAAACAGAGGACTGTCCTCTGTCAAACGGCTACCCCAGTCTCCCTGTTCCTTTCCTATGCACAAACTTGCAACAGCATGTGAAAAGCAGGTTCTATTGCTTATTGTTTGGGCTTGAAAATTAATTTAGATTTTAGAAAGGAATTTGTGCCTTTTCAAAAACCATGCAAATTTTAAAAACAAGGCTATCCATTCATGGCTGGGTGTCACCAATACCTCTCCGCATTATTTAAAAACTTTTCCATATGAAAACTTCTTTGAGAAGTTATTTCACTTTGTCAACATGCAGTGTGTCTTATGAAACAGCTCTAGGTTCTGAGCCACACTTAAATATGTACAACAGTGACAAAAAAAAGCAGTTGGGGAAGGGCCCAAGAACATAAAATTACTTCTGTGTTTATATGTAACCACCCTTAAAATGTAATGCAATTAGAGTTATCTGGAAACATTAAGTGGCTCACCGCTGGCTGACGGACAGGCTTGTAAATTGTATTAGAGAAGGGAACAAGCCTATTGCAGAGTTTGGGAAAGTTGCCAAAGTAGCCTGCAAAATGATTTCTGGTCCTTGCTCTTTATTGCTTGTGATTATGTGATGTGTTTATCAGAATAATTTGATTTCATTTTTCCCACTCTGGGCAATGCTCCAAGCCTCAGAGGTATTAAGTAATTTAAAATTTGCCGTAGGTGTCCATAGAAAGGAACCTTGAATTGCCAAGAGCAGCTTGCTATGAAAAAAATACCCCAAAAAATGCAATTCACTGCAAACTCTTATACTGAAAGGTTTGGAGGCTCTGCAGGAAAGTGTTATTGTAACTAATCTTGGAAGAGCAGGGGGGATGATCAGGATCAACCTGCTCTATGAATTGATTCTGTTTTACAAAAAACAACAACCCATTTTTTATCATGTTTATACCGCGCCACTTCTCTGTACTGTATCCTCAAAATAACACCGTATGATGTATTAGGCTAGGAGATAGGCACTGCAGCCAGGTTACCTTGTGAGTTTGGCTTGGGAGGTGGGAATTTGGATTTGACTCTGACTCTTTCCAGTTCCAAGCCATTAAACAGAAAATGGAAACTTTTTTTTTGTGTGTGTGTCTTATCTGTAAAATCCTAAATAAAGAGGTGGTAACATGCTGCTATCCCACACTTGTATCTGGATATCAGCAATGGTTTCCTCTGGACAAGATTATGGCTAATGCTTTCAGGTCTATACATTTCAAGGATCCTATCTTGGATTTAAAAACCAATACAGTGGTACCTTGGTTCTTGAATGGCTTGTCTCCCGAACAAATTGGCTCCCAAATGCCGTAAACCCGGAAGTATGTTTTCCAGTTTGTCAACGCTTTTTGGAAGCCAAATGTCCAATGCAGCAAGCAGGCGTGCAGGAAGCTCCTGCAGCCAATCGGACGCCGTGTCTTGGTTTTTGAACGGTTTTGGGAGTCGAACAGACTCCAAGAATGGATTAAGTTCAAGAACCAAGCTACCACTGTATATGAACAAGCTGTTTATTTGTGTACACAACTTCTTTGCAAGCAAACAAAACAGGAAGTCTACAATTAACCATGGATTTCATTTCAGCCAATCTAGGAACCTATGATTACTAGCTTTGGAACAAGTCCAGATATTAAAATTAGTTTAATGTCCTAATTTGTTCAAATTCTGCTAACCATACTTTTTTGGTATGGATAAATCAGAAAATTTGATCCAATTTGATCAAAACTCATGTGACGGAGCTGCATGTGTGAATATGTGCACAAGGCTCTTTCACATCTAAGCTATCATACGTCCGAACCAGCTCACTTTCCAAATAAAAGCGGGTGTAGATTAATGGACAGTGAGCTCGGATTCCTGTGGTGTCATTTGAATCTTACTTTAGGAACACACCTTCATTGGCAACTGGCTATAGTAATACTGAATAACAACCCAGGGTTTTTGTAAGTTTGGCTAGCATCCATCCGTCTCAGGAAACAATAGAGGAGTAGGCCTTTGAAGGTGAAGTCAAACTGCTGGAAGCTACCTGCTGTGGCTGTAGAGTCCGATAGAGGACAGAAATGATTGTTGCAACTGGGGCAGATGAAAGGGTAATGAATACCAACTTAAAAACATGCTCACATACAGGAGTTTACTATACTTTAAAGTTATAGTAAAAAACAAAATGTACATTGGTTACACAAGACGTTACCCTTCCCTTAAGCATTTATTCTAGAAATCTGTCTCATCTCTGTTAGCAAATCTGGAATACTTTGCTCTTTTCCTGGAGACAGTTGCTGATTATATCTACAAATGCATAGAATGAGTGCACACCAAGATGTGACAAGTACTATTTGATTATTTAATAGTACTCCTCCATGTTTTCTCTGCTTGAATGCAGCATCTAATTCTGTCTCATCATTCTATAAAGTGAACTCAGTAATGAGTACTGTAAACACAAAGAAGACAAGACCATGAGTTCTAAGTTTTTATCTGAAGATGCAACATTTAAAAATTAAGCTGTTGTATAAGGAGAAACTGAAATTAACCTGCCAGTGGGCTATCCATTTGCTTTGGATCCACATGTTATTCAGTTTTCCATTC